ACCGCCCTGTTCTGCCCCGTCCTGTCTTGTCTTGTACCCCCTCCCTCCCCGTCTTGCCCCAACGTCCCAGTAGTGGACGTTACACTTTAAGTGTGGAAGGGAGTTTAAGTTCAAAGGCAACGGGGTTGATGCGGCGAAGAACTTTAAAGGGGCCAAGCTTTTTCTGATCAAGCTTGTTGGAGGGACGAAGGGTGCGGATGTGGCGACGATCAAGAAAAACGAGGTCGCCAACGGAGATGTCGGGAGTGGGGAGACGGGATTTGTTGGCCTGCAAAGTGTAGGACTCTTGGGCAACCCGGAGGTTGGCCTTGAGATCCTCGAGAACGGTCTGAAGTCGGTCGACACGTTCTTCGGCAGAGGGCACAACAGAGGGATCACGAATGATGGAGGGATCAAAAATGGGGTGATGGCCATGGACTGCAAAGAAGGGAGTCATGCCAGTGGAAGTGTTTTCCGAGTTGTTGTAAGTGAACTCGGCAAGGGGAAGGTGAAGGGTCCAGTCGTCTTGCAGGTAATTGCAATGGATACGCAAATACTGCTCGATGACCTGGTTGAGAACCTCGGTCGAACCGTCGGTCTCGGGGTGGAAGGCAGAAGAAAGGGAAATCTTCGTCTTCAGAAGCTCATTGAAGCGCCTCCAGAAGGCCGAAGTAAACTGAGTTCCTCGGTCCGAAACAATAGACCGGGGACAACCATGCAAGCGGAAGATGTGGGAGAGGAAGAGTTCGGCGGTTTGCTCGCCTGTAACCGTCTTCGTGGTGGGCACAAAGTGTGCTTGTTTGGACAGGCGGTCCTTAACCACGAAGATGGAGTCAAAGCCGTTCGAAGGTGGGAGATCCGTGATGAAGTCCATCGACAGGTCCCACCAACGTTCGGAAGGAACGGGGAGAGGGTGAAGTAAACCATAAGGGGAGTGACGGGACGGCTTGGCTCGCTGGCACGCTTCACAATTAGCAATGAAGCGACGCACAGACTTACGAAGCCGGGGCCAGTGAAAGTCCCGGGAGATGAGCTCAACGGTCTTGGCAAGACCAAAGTGACCAGCGGCAGCGGAGCAGTGACGTTGCTCAAACACTTTGAGCTGGAGCTCGGGGGAAGGGACAACGATCAGGTCTTTAAAGTAAAGGAGACCGTCACGGAAGGAGTAATCGCCATCAAGACGTTTGGCGTTAAAATCAGAAAGAAGGGAACAAGAAAAGGTGGCCGCTCGAATCTCGGAAAGAAAGTCGGGGTTCGAGCCGATAACGGTGATGCTGTCGAGAGAAATAGACTCGAACAGCTGAAGGAAGTTGGTGGAGTGGAGGGAGTCACCAGGCTTTATCTCAAAGTCAGAACGGCGACTGAGAGCATCGGCTTTGGTGTTGAGGCGACCAGGGCGGTGGTAAATGCGAAAAGCAAAATCAGAAAGGAATTGGGCCCACCGGAACTGGCGGCGAGAAAGTTGGGAAGCGGAAGTGAACCGGGTAAGGTTCTGATGATCAGAGAAAACAAGAGTGGGATGATCGGGGTCGGCAGCCATCAAGTAATGACGCCAGGCAGTAAAGGAATCGACAATGGCAAGGAGCTCTTTGTCGTGGGTGTCATAATTCACCTCGGCGGGACGGAATTGCCGAGAGTGAAAAGCAACGGGGTGAAGAGCGCCGTCAGGGTCAAACTGAGAAAGGACGGCACCCAAAGCAAAGTCAGAAGCATCGGGCTCGATGACAGCGGGTTTAGAGAAATCAAAGTAACGAAGAATAGGTGCGGAAGTGAAGGAAAGTTTAAGAGAATCAAAAGCCTCTTGGGCCTCGGGAGACCAAGAGAAGGTGGAGGATTTGGTGGTGAGGGAAGTCAAAGGACGAGCAAGTGCAGAAAAGTCCTTGACGAAGCGGCGGTAAAAGTTTGCGAAACCAATAAAAACTTGGATGTCGCGAGCAGAAGAGGGAACAGGCCAAAGGGAAACGGCCTCGACCTTGGCAGGGTCCATTTTGATGCCATCGGCAGAAATGATCATGCCGAGAAAGTCAACTTCAGAAAGGTCAAAAGAACACTTGGCCGGATTGACCTTAAGGGAGTGTTCACGAAGGCGAGAAAGAACAAGCTTAACATGCTCCTCATGCTCCTGGGGATCTTTTGAGAAGATCAGGATGTCGTCAAGATAAATGACAACACAGACACCAAGGAGGTCCGAGAAGATGTCGTTCATAAAAAACTGGAAAGCAGCGGGGGCATTTGAAAGACCAAAGGGGATAACATTGTACTCAAAAGAGCCAGATTTACAAACAAAAGCAGTCTTCCACTCATCGCCCTTCTTGACACGAACCAAGTGGTAAGCATCAGGGAGGTCAAGGTGTGAGAAGACGCGGGCAGAAGAAAGTTTATCCAGAAGATCCTGGAAGAGGGGAAGAGGGTAGCGGTTCTTCTTCGTGATGGCATTGAGGCCCCGGTAGTCGACGCAAAGGCGAAGACCACCATTGGGCTTCTTCACGAAGAAGCAGGGAGCACCAACGGGAGAAGAGGATTTGGAGATCCAACCACGTGCGAGGGCGTTGGTCAGATACTCCGAAAGAGCAGATTCCTCGGCCGGGGACAAAGGATAGACTTTCCCCGGCTTTGGCAAACGAGGTTCCTTTCCATCCTCGGTCCGTACAAACTCAATAGACAAGTCATACGGACGGTGAGGAGGCAAAGAAGAAGGAGGGTCAGACTTGAGGCTGAAAACGTCGCCAAACTCATTGTATTTGAGTGGGACACCTCGAGAGTCGACAGGGGTGCCAGACTCGGCATACACCTTCGTCGTGAGCACGGACCTTATCGACACCGTAGGATACGTCTCCGGCGAAGGAGGACGGATATCCATTTGGGCAGCGAAAATGTCGAGCTTGTCTTCCCGTGCAAGACGGAGAAGACTCGCCGCATTAACAAGCTCAATGTCGGGTGAAGATAAAGCCGTTGGCTCTTCAGAAAGCGAAGCAGAGTCAAGGCGGGAAGAAAGGGAAGGCGAAGTGCCAAAGGAGGGAACCGGTGTAAGGGAAGGACCGGAGGGAGGAAGAGTCAAAGGCGAAGTGCCCGAAGGGGGAGGCGAAGTGCCGGAAGTGGACGAAGTGTCCAAGGGAGAAGCAGAGACATCCGCGAGGATGTGTCCATCAGCAAGGCAAGAGGGATCGGAGAACGAAAGGGAGAGGGACTTCCAATTGACAACTGGATTGTGCAAGCGCATCCAGGGAAGACCAAGAGTGATGGGAGTGGTGGAGAGTCGAGTCACAAGAAACGAAATCGACTCGGTGTGGGAACCAATGGTCAAAGTCACAGGAACGGTTTGAAAACGAATGAAACCAGCCGAAGAACCATCAGCAAGAGAAACGGAGTAAGGAGTAGAAAGAGGGATAAGAGAGAGTTTATGAAGATCCGCAAAGGCAGGATCAATGAGGGCAAGAGCGGTGCATCCATCATCAATGAAAACAGAAAGGGAGATGGAGACCGGGCCAGAAAGACTCATGACGATAAGAGTGGCCGGAAGAAGAAGCTTATCGTCCGATAGTGACGAGTCAAGGGGGGAAGATGTTCGTATCGCCGAACAGACCACCTCGCTTACTTGCGAGGTGCTGCTCGGCTGTGGGCATTTCCCGAGTTCCGTTTGACCAGAACCGGGCACTGCTGAACATCACGACTGCCGGGACAAGACTTTTCCCCGCAGTACAAACAGAGACCCTGCTCACGACGTCGCTTTTTCTCGACGTCGGAGAGCTTAGCAGGGCGGACCGAGACAGAGTCAAGGTCCATGGGAGTGGGTGCAGAAGAGGAGGAAGAAGAAACATGCGCGGGAGAATGGTGGTGATGGGGAGCAGAGCGAGAAGAAGGAGGAGGAGGTTGGGAACGGGAGGAGATCTTGAGACGATGGAGGGCATCGTCGTACTCGACCGCTGCCTTGATCAACTCGGGCAAGGAAGCGGGAGCGGGGCGGAGACCGATGAGGTGGAACTTGACCTCAGACTTCAAACCCTCCTTGAAGAAGTGCATCTTGGTGGGTTCGTCAGTCTGGACTCGGGCGGCAAGTTGGACGAAGCGGGTGGCAAAGGCTTGGCAGGACTTAAGTTGAACCAAGCGCTTGAGGTCGTTCAAGGCCTTATCTTGCGAGGAGGCCGTGTCCTCACCGAAGGTCGACTTGAGGGCAACTTCAAAGTCGGCGAAGGAGGCAGGGAAGCGGTTGGCCATGTAGAATGCGGCCTCGTACCACTTGAAAGCCTCACCGCGGAGGAAGGAGGTGGCGTAAAGGACCTTCTGGCGCTCGGGCGCGAAGAAGGCGGGATCGGCGAGGAAAACGAGGTGGCACTGGGCGAGGAAGGCCGTCGTCTCGTCGCGGGAACCTAGGAACTCCTTGGGCTTGTTCACCTGGTAGACCTGGCGGGGAGCGGCGGCGGGAGCTTGCAGATCTTGGATCTGACGATGGAGAGCAGCGTTCTGGGTCATGAGGGCGTTCATACGCTCCTCCATGCGCGCCAGATACGCATTCAAGTCTGCAGGGGGTGCAGCAGGCTCAGCCATCGGATCGACGAGGGAAAGAGAGGCGAAAGAAGAAGAAAGGCCGGGAAGCCAAGAGGGAGCGTTCAAAATGATGTTAGAGTCCAAAGGGGACTCAACGGCAAAAGAAGAAGTGAGCTCGAAGTGAGCTCGAAGTGAGCTCAGGGAAAGCAAGGGTAAAGTCCGAAGTGGACTCGGAGAGGGAGCGAGGGAAGCAAGATCCGTTCAAGATAAGACTTGTCTCGAAATGAGACGTGAGGAACACTCAGAGAATAAAGTAGAAGGCACTTTATTAAGTCCTATTTTGAACGCTGAGGTTCGACTACACATCGCGGGAGTCAGGCTATTTATAGACAAGTCCGGACTTGGCAGCGAAGGGCGGCCAAGGGAGGGAAAAGTGGGCGATCGAGCAGGGCGAAGGGGGCGATGCACGAACGAGGGCCGAGAAGGACCACCGAGACAGGCAGAGAACCAAAGCGAGAGAGGCGCAAGCAAAAGCGAAGCACCTGGCAGGAGAAACGTGCAAAGGCGAAGCAATGTGACTCAACGTCCAAGAAGCGGATTGGTCAAGTATAAGGTTGGGGCAAATGCATGCGAGATGAACAAGAGATCGGGGCGGTCAGGCAGGTCATGAGTCACCGGTGGGGGACACATGACCGGCAGCCGAATTGCAACCAATCGCAGCAAGGCGCGTGCACAAACAAACCGGCGCGTGCGAAGAAGACAAAGGAAGCGGAGCAGCGCGGGAAAACGGAAGTGCGGAATGGGCGGAAAAGACAGACAAAAGGCGGAAAATTGGAGGGGAACTGCAAGGCTACACACAAACAAACAGAAAGGCAAAAGAACAGCCAAGTGTGCAGTCAAAGTGGAGAACAAGCAGGAGCTATCCCTAACAGTGTGTGCAGTCGGCGGCGGCATCGGCCACGTCCTGGTTGAAGAGAATGTCGTTTTCCTCAATCTTGTTGAGCTCGTCGGTATTGAATGGGATCAGATGGATCACACTGCCGGCAGGGAGACGTGCCAGCAGGGACTTGCACAGCAGAGCAATATTGGCGACCAGGGTGCCGTAGTTTGGATTGTCGACAAAGGCACTGCGGGCCAGAAACATGCCGATTTGCTTGCCGGCGGTGATATCACCAACCTCGTCCGAGATGGTCGAGTCCAGAGGATAGGGCTTGAGCTTGTTTGCCCAACCATAGGCAGCAGGCAGCATGTTCTTCAGATACAGGCTGATATCGGGGTGGTAGCTGACACGAGTGGTGCTCTTGGTCGTTGCCAAGGCGGCCTGGACGGCTTGGAACTGCTGCTGGCTTCGCAAATCGACCGTGGTCAGGAGCTTCAGGAACTGGGTCTCGACGGCATCCAGCGATGTGAATCCCAGAGACAGGCCGTGGACGGGCACATGGGTCCAGTTCTTTTGCCGCAGGACAGCAACCAGCCTATTCAGAAAGTACTCGTTGATCAGATCACCCCCGCCCAAGATGATACACCTGGGCGTGGTCAGAGGAAGTTGTTCTATGGGGTCTTCGAGGCTGCCAACGTAGACGTCGTCAGTGGTGACTTGCTGCAAAAGCCATGGCCACATGCGGGCAAAGATGTCGTCGCCCAGGTTGCTTCGGTCGTAGTATCCCAGCACGATGATCATGAATGAGGAAAGGATGAAAATGACGCCACCGGCTGATCTCTATACTGATATTTTTTTTCAACCTGCTTGAGCTCCTGATGGATGGACATGTGAAGCAAATCAAGCTCTCGCTGGTGTCAATTCACGAACTTTGATGATGATCTTTTTAATTGTCTCGGGATTGTGCCATTCTGATTTGTCTGCTCTGTCGCTGTAAACAACTCCACCAGAGCTCAAGGTCTCCATATCTTCATAGAGTTGGGTTTTCTTGATACCGATGAAGCGGGTAATATCGAGAGAACCGTCTCTCTTGCGCTGGGTAATCAGCTCATCGGCCTTCTCTTGGACCAAGGTATATGCGAGTAGGATGCCAGTCAACGCACACATCTGGAACATGAGGTTGGCATAGGTATCAATATGGTCCTTAAGATAGACATCAGCATAGTAATCCAGATTATCCGTTTGACTTCTCTTAGTTTCATAGTCAACGGCCTTGCGAGTTGTAGCAGCCGCTTGGGCATCAGCATTTGCGTAGCTGTACATCAACTTTTGGCGGTCATCGGCGTTTGTAAAGGGTTCCATATCACCGGTTCTATGGATTTTACTGAGTGATTTATTGAATGCATTCATGACAGAGCTCACGATATTCGAGGAATTCATGGTGAATCCCCATGACATGAAAAACTCCTTAAGCGTGCGCTTAGCGCCTCCGGCAGCGTCTGCATTGATAATACCCATACTGAGCAAACTTGGAATGACTTTATCGAAGGCAGTGCTCAGCGCCTTGACGACATCGTTGGCAAGTTGGAGGGTTTTGGCATTGTCGTTGTTGGCCCCTGAAATGCGGTTCTCCTTGGGGATCAGTCCGCCGGCAAACGCGTGGTATCCAATGACCTTTCTGTTGCCGACATCGGAAAGGAAATCCATCAGTGGTTGTTCGGCCTTCTTGAGCATAGTTTCCGAGACAAACTTGTAGATCTCCTGAACCTCGCTATCGTCCATGATGATCTGACCGGGCACCCATCCCTTTGGAGGAGGGGGAATACCGCGCTTCAGCCAACCCTCAGCAGTATCCCAGTGTGGGTATGTCATCTGGGCCCAGTCGTTCAGCTTGACCGAGTTCAATATCTTGCCTCGCAAATCGCCCGTAAAGGTTTGCTGGTCGGCAGTGAGCGAGTACCACGGATGGGCCATTGGAGTTCGATAGGCGGTGAATGGGTTCTTCTTCTGCACAACGATATCAAAGTGCGTGTCGTAGGGAATGACCTTGTAATCCAAACCGGTCTTCTCGGAGAGGGCCTTCAGCTGGGCGTTAACAACGGCTTCGGGCTCAATACCAGTGCCGACAAAGTCGGACTTGCGGATGCGGACCGCAAAGACGTTGGGATCGGTGGCAGTCAAAGACGATGCTGTCGCGGTGAGCGGGTGTGCAGATGCAGATCCAAGCGGGTTCAAGGCACCGAGTGAGCCGAGCGACAGGTTCAGAGCATGGGTTGCATCGCTGATCGAGGAAATCGGGGTCACGGTCGACTTTGTCTCCTTCCACTCGAGCATGTTCTTGTTGAGCTTTTCGATGTTGCTATTCATCTTCTTGAGATATGTCTTCAGAGTATCCGCTTGCTTGCTTCCCTTCTTGGAGTCATCATCATCATCATCATCATCATCGTCGTCGGCATCAGCGTCATCGCTGGCACCTGCCCATTGATCGGGATAACCATAATCAGAGCGGATTGCCATGTACGGGCGATTATCTTCGCCTCGTGCGATCTGGCCTTCGCACAAAGGATCTTCCTGTGGCTGGTGTTGCTTCTTCTTGCCAAACCAGCCGCTCAAGAACCCGCCTCCAGACTTCTCCCTCCCAGACATGTCATATGCGCCATCAACCATCTCCTCATTGGGAACAGAGTCGACGGGCCGGATGATAATGATAGCGGCACCGAATGACTTATGGGGGCGAGGTGTGCGATACTGGGCAACCTCTCGACTACTACTCGGTCGTCTGTGTGGGCGTTCGTCATCATACTGATACGAAGAGTATTTATTGTCCATCTGTGCACAGTACTGCTGATACAAACAGAGAATATTTTTTTCGCTCCGCTCTACTCCTCAGTGGGCTGTTCCTCGGAGGAGGAAGTCTCTTGCTCCTGCTGCTCGGCATCGCCAGTCGTGCGCTTGCAAGGAAGCATAGAGGGGACGTCAGTGTTCACAAAGGCAGGTGCGTTCTCGGCGAAAAAGTCAATGTCGCCAATGTTGCTGTCGCCGCTGCTCAACACTCTGATCTGCCAGAGACGCAGAGTCAAGGACGAGTTGTTGTTCCTGCCAAGGAAGAGCTTGGTGATCTCGACGATGGGGATGACGCGGGCATTGGCACTGAGGACCTGCTCGACATTGCTGGGGTTGACGTCGATCAACTTATTGCCGGCCTCGGTGAACTTGACGTCGTACTTGCCGGCACGGAAGGCGTTCGGGTTTTGAGGGTCGCGGTCGATGCTCACCTTGATGTTGGGAGGATAGGCGATTCCGGTCTGGCCGATCTTGGTGGTGACGGTACCCTTGTAGCGATCGGCGACCTGGTTGCGACTCAATTCACGGCGCTCGTTAGGGAACAAGGGAACGGCGAGGTTCTTGCTCTTCTGGACCTGGAGATCGATCATACGCTCGTCGAGTTCGACGAGTTTATGGTAGACCGCTTCGAGGATAGGATCGGTCTCATGGCCGTCGAGGCTGAGGCACATGGTGATCTTGCCATTGTCGCTGGGAGCGGTAGCGTTGGCGACAACCTTGTCGTTTTCTTTGTTGTCGGTCCAGAGCTTGGCCGCGAAGGGAAGGCACATCTCGGGGAGCTTGAGCTTGATCGTGTCGCGGGAAGTGCCGTAGTTGACAAAAGCAAAGTTGCCATAGGAGTTAGAAAATGGTTTGGGATCAGTGATGGTGATCTTACTGACGTCAAGGTCCTTGATGTCAACGATGCCGTGATTCTGAGTGGCCTTGAAGGAAGACATGGCTAGGATAGTAGTAGGCGAAGAGAAGAAAACGCAGAAAAATGATGCGATAGAAGTGAGAGAGGGAAAGTCGATGGTGCGCTGCTTTTAAGCGTTGGTGGGAACGACTTTGCATCGAGCCTGGTCGTGATCACTACTGCGCCACGATTTCGGCAGGGACGTTAACAGGGTCCGCGGCGGGGACGGGGTCTTCCGTTGTTGTCGCCGTGGCGGGCTCGTCCTGAGCTTCCAGCTTGGGCTTGCGTAGAAAGTGTGGGTTAAGATAAGTCTGCAGGTTAAAGTACGAGACCCCCAGGGAACCACTCTTGTCGATCGGGTGACGGATCGGGCCCAGCAGCTGAGCGAGCTTCTCGTCGGGGTGGATCACCCGGCGGTTCTCGGTGTCCTCGAGACTATGCTTTTTGACATAGTCGATAACAGACGAAGTGACGGTGGTGCGGGCAATCTCTTGGTCGGCGGGGATGCCCAAGAATTCGCACATGGCAGCGGAGACCTTTGTGGGCTTGGCGAAGCCGCTGGGCTTGCGCGGAGCTGTCAGCCTGGCAGCGGCGTCATCCGCGGTCGACGTGTCATCTCCGCCGGCTTGCGTCTTCCGCTTGCGGGACTGGGAGACCGCCGCCTTCTGGGCCAGGCGGTTGTAGCGGTCTTGGCTCTGCTGGGCGGTGCGCATCTCGCGCTGGTAGGTGGCCTTGGCCGACTTAATCAGCTCGATCGTCTTGCGCGCAGTGGACACGTCATCGCGGAGATTGCTGATCAGGCGTTCGGCGAGCGGCAGAAAGCTGGCGACCGGATCGGCAGCGACAGCAGGAGCAGCAGCAGGTGCGGGGGTGGGGGTGTCTGTGTTCTGGGACATCTTGGCTCGATATACTATATGGGTGAGAAATTCTTTATTGCTCTTCAGCGCAGGGGAACAACATGAAAGGGGCGCGGATCATGTCTACCATGATACGCAAGTATGCGATTTCAAATACATAAGTGCCAGTGCTATGAATCGTAATTTTGGTGTAGCTCTGTGGCGAGTCTGCGGGGGCTGTATAACGGACCGGGTCGTCACAGCTGCCAATATCCTCCACTACCGCCTGCCAGTCCTTAAAGTTCAGCGCAGTAACACTTCCATCCTTGCCGACGGTGCTTATGTGCGTTGTGTCCTTGTGACGACCGGTGTTGTAGATTTTTCGGGTAGACGAAAGGCTACCGGACTGATTGACTCGATTGACACCGTTGGTGAATGGGTGTTAGGGATAGCTTCTGCTTGTTCTCCACTTTGACTGCACACTTGGCTGTTCTTTTGCCTTTCTGTTTGTTTGTGTGTAGCTTTGCAGTTCCCCTCCAATTTTCCGCCTTTTGCCTGCCATTTCCGCTCCTTCCGCACTTCCGTTTCCCCGCGCTGCTCCGCTTCCTTTGTCTTCTTCGCACGCGCCGGTTTGTTTGTGCACGCGCCTTGCTGCGATTGGTTGCAATTCGGCTGCCGGTCATGTGTCCCACCACCGGTGACTCATGACCTGCCTGACCGCCCCGATCTCTTGTTCATCTCGCATGCATTTGCCCCAACCTTATACTTGACCAATCCGCTTCTTGGACGTTGAGTCACATTGCTTCGCCTTTGCACGTTTCTCCTGCCAGGTGCTTCGCTTTTGCTTGCGCCTCCCTCGCTTTGGTTCTCTGCCTGTCTCGGTGGTCCTTCTCGGCCCTCGTTCGTGCATCGCCCCCTTCGCCCTGCTCGATCGCCCACTTTTCCCTCCCTTGGCCGCCCTGCGTAGCTTTGCAGTTCCCCTCCAATTTCCGCCTTTTGCCTGCCATTCCGCTCCTTCCGCACTTCCGTTTTCCCCGCGCTGCTCGCTTCCTTTGTATTCTTCGCACGCGCCGGTTGTTTAGTGCACGCGCCTTGCTGCGATTGGTTGCAATTCGGCTGCCGGTCATGTGCTCCCACCACCGGTGACTCATGACCTGCCTGACCGCCCCCGATCTCTTGTTCATCTCGCATGCATTTGCCCCAACCTTATACTTGACCAATCCGCTTCTTGGACGTTGAGTCACATTGCTTCGCCCTTTGCACGTTTCTCCTGCCAGGTGCTTCGCTTTTGCTTGCGCCTCCCTCGCTTTGGTTCTCTGCCTGTCTCGGTGGTCCTTCTCGGCCCTCGTTCGTGCATCGCCCCCTTCGCCCTGCTCGATCGCCCACTTTTCCCTCCCTTGGCCGCCCTTCGCTGCCAAGTCCGGACTTGTCTATAAATAGCCTGACCCCCGCGATGTGTAGTCGAACCTCAGCGTTCAAAATAGGACTAAATAAAGTGCCTTCTACTTTATTCTCTGAGTGTTCCTCACGTCTCATTTCGAGACTAGTCTTATCTTGAACGGATCTTTGCTTCCCTCGCTCCCTCTCCGAGTCCACTTCGGACTTTACCCTTGCCTTCCCTGAGCTCACTTCGAGCTCACTTCTTCTTTTGCCGTTGAGTCCCCTTCGGACTCTAACATCATTTTGAACGCTCCCTCTTGGCTTCCCGGCCTTTCTTCTTCTTTCGCCTCTCTTTCCCTCGTCGATCCGATGGCTGAGCCTGCTGCACCCCCTGCAGACCTCAACGCGTATCTGGCGCGCATGGAGGAGCGTATGAACGCCCTCATGACCCAGAACGCTGCTCTCCATCGTCAGATCCAAGATCTGCAAGCTCCCGCCGCCGCTCCCCGCCAGGTCTACCAGGTCAACAAGCCCAAGGAGTTCCTAGGTTCCCGCGATGAAACGACGGCCTTCCTCGCCCAGTGCCACCTGGTTTTCCTCGCCGATCCTGCCTTCTTCGCGCCCGAGCGCCAGAAGGTCCTGTACGCCACCTCCTTCCTCCGCGGTGAAGCCTTCAAGTGGTACGAGGCCGCCTTCTACATGGCCAACCGCTTCCCGGCTTCCTTCGCGGATTTTGAAGTTGCCCTCAAGTCGACCTTCGGTGAGGACACGGCCTCCTCGCAAGATAAGGCCTTGAACGACCTCAAGCGCTTGGTCCAGCTCAAGTCCTGCCAAGCCTTCGCCACCCGCTTCGTCCAGCTCGCCGCCCGCGTCCAGACTGATGAACCCACCAAGATGCACTTCTTCAAGGAGGGTTTGAAGTCTGAGGTCAAGTTCCACCTTCATCGGTCTCCGCCCCGCTCCCGCTTCCCTGCCTGAGTTGATCAAGGCAGCGGTCGAGTACGACGATGCCCTCCATCGTCTCAAGATCTCCTCCCGTTCCCAACCTCCTCCTCCTTCTTCTCGCTCTGCTCCCCATCACCACCATTCTCCCGCGCATGTTTCTTCTTCCTCCTCTTCTGCACCCACTCCCATGGACCTTGACTCTGTCTCGGTCCGCCCTGCTAAGCTCTCCGACGTCGAGAAAAAGCGACGTCGTGAGCAGGGTCTCTGCCTGTACTGCGGGGAAAAGTCTTGTCCCGGCAGTCGCGATGTTCAGCAGTGCCCGGTTCTGGTCAAACGGAACTCGGGAAATGCCCACAGCCGAGCAGCACCTCGCAAGTAAGCGAGGTGGTCTGTTCGGCGATACGAACATCTTCCCCCTCTGACTCGTCATTATCGGACGATAAGCTTCTTCTTCCGGCCACCCTTGTCGTCATGAGTCTTTCTGGCCCGGTCTCCATCTCCCTTTCTGTCTTTATTGATG